GACTCATATATCTGCACAGAAAGTAAGAGGCTAATTAGCCCAACACTCACATTATTTATTAATTCTTGTTTGTTGCTGGTGAGGGAGGCCATTTCTGAAAATATTCACTTTCTTAACCTCTATTGGGGATACAGAGATATTTATTTTATCATAATCCTTTAAACTGTATAAATACTTCACATACCAAAGCACATCCTTACTCTCTAGGACTGCAATTCAGTGTATGGCAGTGTCAGGAGGAACAAATCAACTCAGATTTCTTGACAAATGTGACTAAGATATGAGGAGAGTAGAACCCATTTAACTTTTAACAGAGACCTGAGGAGGTGTGTGTGTGGGGGGCGGGGGGAGGGAGTCACTAAAACTCATTCCTAGGCAAGAATGCAAATTCCAAGGTAAGGGATTGAATAAACATACAAGATTTCATTTAGAGACTTAAAAGGCAACACCAGCATCAAAAACTATAGCCCCAATTCCCCTCAATGAATTGGAAGCCAGAGTGCATGTAATATTTTTTAAAGCATAGATATGATATGTAAAATTTTGTTTAAAACAATTTGTTAGGTAGCTATAATTGTAAGTGGTTTTTGAGTGAACTATATTATTTATGTGTATCTCTTGGTCAGGTATAAAAATTGCCTGTTGTAATAAGTGAACATTTATACTTTGAATGCCCATATAAGTAAGTGGCTTTAAATAACTTTATTTGTTGTTTTTCTCTTTTTCCTACAACTCCAATCACAACTCTATATTCTCTTTTCAAATCCACATCGATTTTTATATATCCAATTCAGTAAATGTTGAAGTTTCAACTTATCTTCAATATTTAGAGATGTGAAATTAATATGCATTTTTGAAAATCAGGCATTAATTCTGATTGATCTTTTTAGAATGTTTCACTTAATATTGTAATTGATTGTCTTTCAAATAAAAAAAATTTTAAATGCAATTTACAGTGCAACCTAGAACATATAAATACATACATAGAGACAGAAATAAGCACGTTTATTTAGCAATCAAGTGTCATAAAGCACTTCTTGGCTTTAATACATACAATAGACTCTGGTATTTATTGGTGTATTTTCTGTTTTATAATCTTTTATGCTGGGGAAAAACTAAATTATGCATGTCAGCTTTACAGTTTCTAAAACATTAATTTAGTAAATGCCAAAAATGAGAATGCTTTTAATTAAAATGGATTTATAAACAGTGTTCACATTTTTTTTTTATTAACTGCAATTGTTCATCCAAAAGGTGGACAAATTGCTATTTCTTTGAAGTTAAGAAGCCTTTCGTCTTTCTTCATAAAGCATATCATTGCCCTTCTGAGTAGATTGGCATACTGGGCCTTAATTAATGAATGGGTGATGCTTACTCTAACACACATTCGTGGGCTTTAGTGAGAATTCATATTTAACAATAAACAAAGATTATACAAAAAATATTTCTTATTCGCCACAGAATAACAACAAGAAGTATCTTCTGGATCAACTTGCAGAACATAGAAGCAAATTCTGTGTCATTATTTTAGAATCGTATCCTTGTCCGCAGTTAGGAGCTCCTTTTACTAGTACTTACCATAGTCACCTTATTTTACATATCCAATGGTACCTCCAAAGATAAATTTTTGCATTAATTTATAGTTACTGTAAAGATGTTAAGAAAATAGATTATAGCTCCCAAATGAGTTAGGAAAAAATAGTTTTAAAAATGTTGGAACCAATTACAGCTATATTAGAATAAGTGTATTACCTTTCAAAGGGTTTATGAGCCACTATATTGGCTTAAAAATCTCATGCTGATACACACCATACTATACATTAACACACCTTACAACAAACATTCCTTCTTATCTATGACTTTTTTTCCTTCTTCTTAGCATCTAAACCTGTGCGTAGCGCCTAGCATATACTATGTACTTGATAGTTTAAATTAACTAAATGGCCTTATGTAATCATATTTTCATAAATTATGACATACAGGTATATTAAATGTTATATTGACCAAGAGGCAATCACCTTGCAAGAGAGCAAAATTTCAAGAAAGAAAGAGTACTACTTGAATGAGTTATTGATGAATTGTTCCAAGATAGGAAAAAAGCATTTATATTTGTAGCTAGTTTAAAGACAGGTGACCTTTTAAGAGGTTAGTTAACCTTTGAGCAATTTTGGAGTTACTGCTTTGAAAGATAAAGGTCAGAATAGAACTCAGAATGCAGTTACTGTCTTTTGTTTGTTGCTATGACTTTAATTTCCAATAAAATAATTCAAACTGTAGAGTCTGTTCAGAAGTAGATTTCTTTTCAAATTAAAAGAATTGTATTGGTTTAAAGTATTTTTCAGGTACTAGATATAAATAATCAAAATATTAAAACAAAATCACAACTTTTTGTAAATTTCACTTTTAATCTCATTCCGTGCTAAGTGTTATTAAGACAAAAATGTGTTTGATTAAAGAAAAATGTGTGATGTTTCTGATTTTTTCTCTTAAGTATAGTTCACTTCATTTTTCTTTTCACACCCCCATTTTTTTTAAAAAAACTTATTCTAATTACCTTTCTCTAAGTCCCTGCAGTCATAAACCCAGTGTTTACCTATTTCCTTAGATGTATTAACACCAAAAGGGAAATTGCACTAAGTGTTTAGAAAACAGTAGTACAAAATAATATTTTGTCCCAAGCTTTCAAATACTTGAAATTTGTGCAGAGGAAATAACCTAAAAATACTTTAACATTTACAGATTTTGGTCAGGTTGTGATAAGCAAAGGGTCATTAACCTGACCTACATGCTCTCTTTCTTCTTTGTAGTTGCCTGTATTCATTTTTTAAAATGCATGCAAATTGCTTTTTGACCTATTCATTTCAAAAGAAACTAGCCTCTAGTTTGGAAATAAAGAAAATGTGTATTTCTGCTAGATTTGATGATATTGACAAAGAGGTCAAGCCAATTTTATATTACCTGGACATATAACTTAGTTTCTAATGTTTTATTCATATTCAGCCATGAAACAGATACAGATAATACAGTGCCCAGGCTTAGGAAAGCATAAAATAATCGAAGGATAAAATCATATTGTAACAATGTGTTCCTATTTGAATGAACTAGCACTATTTTGAAGATGGCGATGAACATAGTGATAGAATTTTCACTTATTTAAAAATCTGTCAGCATCAGTGTAGTCTTAATAATGAAAAAAAAAATCCTTGACTGACATTTGAATGGTCTGGTCATTCATTAAGTAAGCACAGAGAGGAAAGGAGAAGTTGAAGTTAAGTAAAGGATATTTAAAAACATGTGATAGCCGAAGCCAGTTTGGCTCAGTGGATGGAGCGTCGGACTGCGGACTGAAGGGTCCCAGGTTCGATTCCGGTCAAGGGCATGTGCCTGGGTTGCGGGCATATCCCCAGTAGGAGATGTGCAGGAGGCAGCTGATTGATGTTTCTCTCTCATCGATGTTTCTGACTCTCTATCTCTCTCCCTTCCTCTCTGTAAAAAAATCAATAAAATATATTTTAAAAAAAACAAACAAACATATGATAGGCAGTATTTTTCAGTGTAATGAAGCATTGATTGTACCACTTTGGATGGTGAAATGACATTAGAAATATCATGGGCATAATCCTCACTGGGATAAAATTCTCTGAGAGAATATTGAGGGCAACCATCAGATACAAAATATTTCATGGCAAAAGTCAGAAGACAGCTTCTGGTTTGGCAACCAGATGCTCTCATCTCAAGGCTCTCTTAGTTCTGAGTGAGCGCACTTCATGCTTCTGGGCCAGGACGACTGGCATAGTTTCTGAAATTACCTCACATTCCAGGCAGCTGAGGCTGGACACAGGCAACATGGCAAGTGGAACCCGCCATACACTGGGTGCATTGAGCTTAATTTAGCTGTTTTGTGTATGTTTGTTTTTTTTTAACATTTCTGTTTGTAATGTTTAATGTTTTTTAATTTTCTTAGGAGCCTTACAAAGAACAGAGAAAAACCTTCTTTTTAAAGAAGTTTAGTATAAAATTCATTGTATCTTGTAATGACTTGAATGGGACCACTGAATCCTCTAACTTTAGATACATTATGAGTTCATAATTAAATTTTGCTGTCTGGAAGCATTTGCTATCATCACTGAGAAAGTATTTCATCACCATCAGTTATTCCAAACCATGCTAAGAAAAGACTATAGATAACAAAAAAAGTGCTTACTAATATCAACAGCCTTCAGTGTTCTAATTCAATTGCTCCAGGTCTCCCGGCAAGAAGGTACAGAGGTGGCTGATAATCTGTTTTTAGCTTTCATTGAACACAACTGAGAATTCAAATTGAGGTTTTTCATTTTCTACCTTTAATGACAGAGAAGATTGGTAAGGTTAGATGTTTTGCAACTGCATATTAGGAGATAAATGCAAAGAGACATGTAATTGGTAATTGTCTACAGCTACATTATTGTCCAATGTGATAACCACTAACAGCCACATGTGGCAACTGAGCACCTGAAATGTTTTCAAATGAGGGCATTCTGTAACCATAAACCCCACACCACATTTTGAAAACTTAGTATATAAAAGGAAGCAAAATATTGCTATAGAATTTATCTTTATTTCATGCTGAAATGATCATATTTTTGATGTATTGGATTAAATAAAATATATTACTACAATTAATTTCACCTATTTCTTTTTACATTTTCAATGTGACTATAAGAGAAACATTATATGTGGCTCATATAATTCTACTAGAAAGCACTCTTCTGGGTTCTAACAACGACACCGAAACTGAGCCTACAAATAGACTCTCAGATTATGAGTTTGCAGACTACATTATCCTAGTTTTCTCAGACACACAAAAATCAAGATGTGAAATATGTTTCTTAATAAATAAAATGTATAGGGTACCCTCCCCCAGTCAGTCACTTAGCAGAATACAATGCTTTTTAAAAAGAAATGAAGCTATTTCCTAGCGGCGCGCGCCGCTCCTCGGCTCGGGCATCGCCGCCCCCGCCCTCGGCGTCCTGCCCGCCAGCCCTGCCCGCCCAAGCGGCTGGAGGACGCTGAGCGCAGGTGCGTCTGCAGGAGCCTGGGACGAGCCCTGCGTGGGCGCCGTTGACACCGTGATGTCCATCGGGCAGAGGAAAGGAGTCCGAGCCGCAGACCCATCGGGGGACGGCGCAGCCCAGCAGGACGGGGCGCCGGAACCTAAGCTGCCCTCCGAACGTCGTACCAGTAGAAGATTATGGAAGATTCTGTCATTTACTGTCGGTGGAGCCGTCGCCCTCTGTGCTGGACTCCTGACGTCCGTCTACCTGGCCACCTTACATGAGAATGACCTGTGGTTTTCCAACATAAAGGTACGGGTTCCCGTGAGCCCGGCATGAGATTCCCGTCAGTAGGTCCCACAGAATCCAGTCCCTTCAACAGTGTGGCGATGGAGTAAAAAGACTTTGTGTTTTTTGGTAAAATAAGATCAGAATGTCTACAATTCAGGGGGTTTCCTAACTTATTCCAGGGAAGCAGCAGTTACTCGGACCAGCGCTTTTCTTTTTGTTAATCCTCACCCGAGGATGTTTTCCCACTGATTTTAGAGAGAGTGGAAGGAAGAGAAAGGGAAAGAGAAACATCGATGTGAGAGAAACACATTGGTGGGTTGCCTCCTGCATGTGCCCCGACCAGGGCCCCGGACCAGGGCGGAACCTGTAACCAAGATCCGTGCCCTTGACTGGAATCGAACCCGGGACCCTTCTGTCTGCAGGCTGACGCTCTGTCCACTGGGCCACTGGATCGTGAACTTGGTGCCGTGGGTCACGAGTAATGCTTTCCTTCATGACATCAAGTACAAGAAAGCGCCGCCACGTGTGCGGGGGTGCGGGATCAGCCATGAAACTTCATTGTGTGTGTGTGTACAAATGAGGTCACAGCATAAACGTTTTTCTTCTGTTGGGTGGTATTAAGAAAGAAAGAAAGAAATTCGAAAGGCACCGCTCTGCGCCATGGAGTCCCCCCGCCCAGTGGTCGCAGCGTGTCCACCTCTAACTGGACGTGCGCGTGGCGGGGGCCAGCCATGACTCCGGGGAAGGACCATAATTCTCATCACACTCAGGAAGCTCTGTGGTGTTTTACACACCAGTTTCCTATTGTCCCTCTTTTCTCTCTCTTTGTAAGCATTTCTAGTGGTTTTTTTAAAAATATATATTTTTTTATTGATTTCAGAAAGGAAGGGAGGAGAGATAGAAACATCCATGATGAGAGAGAATCACTGATCGGCTGCCTCCTGCACACCCCCCACTGGGGATCGAGCCCGCAACCCAGGCATGTGCCCTGACCGGGAATCAAACCGTGACCTCCTGGTTCATAGGTCAATGTTCAATCACCGAGCCACACCAGCCGGCTCTAGCGTTTTTTAATTTGGCACTGTTTTCAAACCGAGTATATTACGCAAGGAAACTTACGTATTGACAGTGTTTTTGAACCAAATATGCCTTTTTCTTCTTTAACCCAAAGTGTCATGACCTGTGACCTTACCACCGTGGTATCTCATGACTGGCTGCTTACAAAGGTAAAATTCACCTTCGAGGGCCGAGGATTTCTCATCTGTGAGAATATTCAGAAGAAACAACGTGGAACGTAAAGATAGTCCCCATAGGGAGTTTGCCAAAGTATCTTGAGCTTTGGTTCCCACGTTGGAATGACCAATTAATTATCTGACTGATCTCTGGTAGCTTATGGCATGGCCTGTATCATTACACCTTTATACAAAGTGTGATGATAGCAAAGAAGAATGATCCTTACCCTTTAGTGACAATCGCTAGTTTTTCTTGTCAGAAAGAATTTCACTCACCTATCTCTCTTTAAAGCAGAATGTTTATAAGCAGGTTCCCTAGAATTAAGCAGTTGAATGTTTACTGATTAGCACAGTATTTTGAATAAAGACTCAAATACCCCTGTGTGGGCACACAGCGAAAAAAAAAAAAAAAAAAAAAAAAGAAATGAAGCCATTCCATTTTGCTATAAGGAAGAATGCTAGTGTCCTTTCAACCTTTATATTTGGCTCCAAAACTTACCCGGGACAAACAGGTACATTATGCTTATTTTTAATTAATTTTTTTAGAAATTATTTTTTCCTATCTTGATATTCTTACTTTTTAGTACATTATTTAAAAAATGACTTTAAAATGTCAAAGGGTCCCTTGGATGGAGATGGCTACTAGTGATCAATTATTTCCTGGTATAATGAAGGTTAAGGGTCTCTCTCTCTCCCTTTTTTTTTTTTTTTCAGAAGATGTCACTCAAAAATTTACATGTTTCACTGTCTAGACGTAGTCACATCTCCAGGTAAGAGGACTGCCAGGAATTGCAGTATTCATTTTGAACTACCAGGTGCTTAGCTAAAATACTTAAAGGATTTTAGTTTTTCTTCTTTTATTTTTACTTATTTATTTTTCCATCACCATTTATCCCCTCTATGCCCTCTTCCCCTCCACCTACTGCCCTCCCTCCTGCTGTCACCACATTGCTGTTCAGGTCCTTTAGTTCTCTCTCTCTCTCTTTTTTTTTCTTTTTCACTCAATCCCTCCACTCAGTCCCTTAAACAACCCCTCCCCCACCAGGGCTGTCTGCCTGCTCTTTATGAGTCTGTCTCTATTTTGCTTGGTTTTTTATTTCTAAAGCAGGATGGAAGAGTAGATATTGGGGTAGGCATATGCCAGTCTCTGCCAAAAGGGTCTATTCACATTTTTTTTTCTTTAATTTTGGATTAGAACCATTGACAGAAATTCTTCAATACTTATTTCTTATAGATGCGATTTAAACTGCATCAGAATCTAAAATTTAGCATTACTTGTTTATATGGGAAAGAACAAAATATTCTTTCGTTTTTATACAGTCTCTAAATTCTCTACTGTTAAGAATTCCTCTTCCTCCTGGTTATTGGAGTGAGGAGATTCTTAAACATATGAGTTAAAGTATACTTTACCATTTAAGGCAATTTGTCTCTATTTTAACCAGTCTCTTTATAATCACTTCCTTCTCTGTTACCTTGTCCCTGAAGGTACTTGAGTTGAAAGATTCTGCAACCCTGGATGGAGGAGTAGGCTCTACAACATAACACACTGTTTTTTTCTTTGTCCTTGAGGTGGTTGGACTCAGCTGCAAGATTGCTGCCTTCAGTGGTCTCCAAATCACTTAGACTTGTATCTGTCAAGATGACCACTGATGAAATTTTCCATTCTTTTGTTGGATGAGTGCCCAGTGCTTCTCCCTGCCAACCTAGTTTTAATCACATGGACTCAGCAGATTCTTCTTGAGTTTCGGCCATGTTCTGTACCTGGAGCCTGGCTTAGGATGGCCATCACTCTCCAAGGCAAGGTCATCAGGCTCCTTGCATGACAAGCCCATGGACCTACTTAGCCTTGAGGCCTGCTGGAAATTAGAGGATGATTTTCCTATAAATAGAATTTGCAAGAACCTCTGAAATACTACGCTGGTCCTCTCTCAGTTTGCCATGTCATGCTGTCATTTTTAGTTTATTTTAACCCCTCTGTTTTAATCTGGGACTCCCTGCTTAGTGGTCACCTGCAAAATTCCAAAAAAAAAAAAAAAAAAAAAATGGATCAGGGCACAATCTCTTGCCTTTTTATTCAAATTATCTAACATCTCACTTTCTAAGGTTTTTGTGATGGAGGATGGGAGCCAGAAAATATTGTTTTTATTATATGACTTCCCTAAAACTCTCTCCCCGTTCTCTCCCTTTCCAACTAGGAATGGAAGTGTTCTAATTTACTTTTTCTTTAATCTAGTGCAGACATTCTCTATTCCATCAGAGCCTTCTCCTTCCCCCAGTTGAATTTATCTTTCTCATTCTTTGTAGTTAAAATATGTATCTATTGAATAGGTATGTGGTAAAACCTTGACCAGGAAACAAAAAGAAAACTAAAATGATTACTTGAGACTCTTTGAACCCCATTATGAAATTACCTATAATTTTAGCTATAAGCTCACAAACAACTAAGAGCAAATAAGATTTTTATTGGAGGACCTAGATATTGCTAGATGCTCTTCAGTACACAGAGAGCTTAAGACACAGTCCCTAACCTCAAGTCTCAAATACATGGCCAAACAGTCTCAGAAAGATAAACATGGCCATCTTAGATGGCATGTGGAATGTTGAGTGAATTTCACAGAAACTGAGAAGAGCTAATGATTTCTGACTCAAAAGGAATCTCAAATAAGTGCTCATTTAGTTAAATATAGAGTAGAATTGAGGGCTCATTGGATTTGATTGTGATTGCAATTAACAACCAGCATTTATTCTGTTAAAGGTTACCCTGGATACTTATCTCTCATTAAGAATTTATACTAAAATGGTATGTAAATTATCTCATTTGGTCCTGAAGGTTTTTGAGAATGGCTGACACTCTATAGCAGTGGTTCTCAACCTTCCTAACGCCGAGACCCTTTAATACAGTTCCTCATGGTCTGGTGACCCCCAATTTCATTGTTACAAATTGAACATAATGAAAGCATAGTGATTAATCACAAAAACAATATGTAATTATATATGTGTTTTCCGATGGTCTTAGGTGACCCCTGTGAAAGGGTCATTTGACTCCCAAAGGGGTCGCGACCCACAGGTTGAGAACCGCTGCTCTATAGTGATCTCAAAGCACACTGTTAAGGCAGAGCTCTAAAGGATAGTCTGCAGTAAGGAGAGATGTGAGATACACACTTAAAGGAATATCTAAACATTAGGTAACAAGAACTTGAATTAGAGCAGTGGTTGGTACAGGACACTAGCAATGTATTTCGGAAGTATTTAAATGCTGTAGCTGATGAACACAAAGAAAAAATCATAGCATCACTCATAGCTGTAAGTGAAACTCCTGCACATTTCCTAGTTATGCTACTCTGGGGAATTGCTTTCACCTTTCCTCCTTGTTTTCTTCAAAAAAATGAGAATCAAAATAACTAACTGGTCCATTGTAATGATTAAGAAAAATGTAATGACTCAATGTAAGCACAATACCTAGAAAATTACAGAACCCCAAAATATTTAAAGTATTGATAATACTATGGGATTCATTGGAATAGAAAGAGGAAATGAACTTATGGATCTAAAATTAAGGCACTACAAGAATATTGATATTATCATGAATCATGATGAGTAAACAAACTTTTGAGATGGAAGTGAGCAAACAGATAGTCCAAATACCCATTTCTCTATCTGGGCTGAATCCCAGACCAGAGATGGATCTTGAGGCATGACGCCCTGGCAAGCCTTTTCACTGGCTCTCATTCTCCTCTGGAACACGGGTAGACTTCTGCTATTGCCTGTGTGGAACTCCCCTGCAAATGCCAGAAAGTAAATTTGCCAAAGTGTAAGTCTGCTGTCAGACAAAGGGAGCTTGGACAGTGGAAAGAGAACAAGACGAAAGTAGCTTTTATCGAAAGCTTTACGTGGATACCTTGACTAATTCTAGTTACCTTTAGATCCCTTCACAGTGAAGTAGCCTCAGTTCCTCCCTTGCTATAATGACATTGTTATGCACCTTTACAAAATATCCCTTGGAAAAATGTCATAAGTTTATCTTTGTCTCCTTCAGTTCTGTTATAAACCAGAACACCTTGTGAACTGTCATCTGTAGTTTTTATTTGACAAAAACGACCCCTCCCCCCGAATCTGCAAAATTCCCCCAAATGTGTGGATCAAATAGGAGTTCTCCTTTCTTAGATTTCTCTGTCTTGGGAGTAAGCACTTGATATAAACTGAGGGAGTCATTATCACCCACACCTGACTCTTTGGGCAAATCAGTTCCCTTTCTCGGGACAGTGGCCTTTACTTCCTTTCT